TCCTTCTGATTTTAAATTGACTTACTTGGTTGTACATTAGTTCTATAATATCCCATCAGGTCTTTCACTTTTAAAAAATTATTGTGAATTAACTATGGCCATATTAAGTTTTGTCACCTACAGGAAAAAAATTAGTTTTGTTGTTGTTACAGAAAAGATTGTGATATTTTGAACACAGATCCCACTAGATTTCATCCAGATTTTCAGAACTCTGGTGTAGAAGGTGACAAGTTCACAGACTCTACTATAGTTAATTGAGGATTCCAGGAAACAAAAATTAACTACACAGGACTAAATGAAAAGAAAGATTACTGTGAGCTCTATACAGGAATATTGACAATGTTTTAATATTCTATTTTCTGGGTATAAAAATCCACTGCCATCAAGTTAATTCTAACTCATAGCAACCCCCATTGGGTTTCCAAGGCTATAAATCTTTACATAAGTAGATTGCCTCATCTTCCTCCCATGGAGCAGCTGGTGGATTTAACCACCAACCTTGTCATTAGGCACCTTGTGGTTAGTGCCTTACCCACTACACCACCAGATATATTTTTTTTCCCCTCCTTTCTCCTAAATTATCTAATGGGTTTGTTGTTTTCACCTTCAGATTTTGACTGGCTCTTGTTATGCTGTTCCTAGGTGTTTATATATAACCAATTAACCAACAAGAAAAAATAAGAAATATAAGAGGAATCTAAAATTAAAAACCAGAAAAGAACCTTTAAAGGAGATGAGAAAATTCTTAATCATTATAGTGCTATTAGCTACTGAAACAGCTGGTTCTTCCACTAAAAGTAACAATATAATCATCAGACTTTCAATGATGTTAGATAATGTAACTCCAATTAGAAGTTTCTGTTGCTAAACTTAGCAAAGTTATAAATACCATAACTAGAGAAGTGTCTGAAATTTGAGCTATTTATTGATTTATTTATTTTAATAAGATATCCTGCTAAGTCTCCCAAGAAATGATTTTGCACTTTCATAGATGAAATTTGCTGTCTATTGACAGGAAATCTGAAGTTCTGCAGAACCTCTTTATAGCTGAGGCACGTGAAAACAGTTACTAATCTTGCTTATGTGTAAACAAACACCTTGTGGAACTTGTTTCCTTGGTACAAAGACGTTAGAATTTTATTTTTGTGAATTATTTCCACGAATTGGCCTAATACTGATAATGTTTCCAGATTTCTGGTTTCATGGATGTTGGGATAACCCACACAAACCACTGCAATTCAGTGTCCTTTTGAATCTTGAACCTTGGAAAAACATGCATAAAAGCCATTTTTGAGTCAAACAATGGTTCATGTAAACAACTAAGACCATTTCAGTCTGAGCATTGTGGTCTTTTGAAGAATCAATCTGTTTAGTAAAACAGAAAATCAGACAGGGCATCATTAGGTTTAAAGAAAATCAGTAATTATTTTAATCAATCTTCAAGAGAATGAAATACCTGTCTAATACTTGTGATCAAAATGTCACCCTCCTTGGTATACAGAAAATTATGTATCTTGAAGAAATTAAGTCCTTCCTTAGAGGAGATTGACTGTACCTTAAGTTAGCCTTTTTTGGGAAACCAAATAATTCATCCAATGTGACCTTGCCCTTCACTAACCCAAATTTATGGTGATCAAAGAATTTCTATGGAAATTCATGATCAGAGGAGGGACAAATACATGAAAGGAAGGTTGGGCAATCTACTTCCATAATGATACCACTTCAGAAATCCAAGGTGGGGTCACTATGAGTCAGATCTGACTCCATGGCAGTGAATTTGGTTTTGGTTATAACCTTAGAACTTAGGCTAATTAAAATGGCTGACACAAGGTTTGCCTCGGACTCCATTTTCTTTTGTTTCTGAGATGACCCATGACTGTTGGATGAACAAGGAAGGGCAGCTTTGCCTTGGGAAGATGTTTTAAATAGATTAACTGAAGACCCCCAACACCTATATTACCTTGCTAATCATATATCTTTGACAACCCTAATGTTTTTCTTTTGCTTTTGGTCATTCTGGAAGTCACATGCCTTAGATTACCTGGACATTAGATTGTCATAGGGTTTTTTGTAGGTGAGATCTCCACACTCCAAAAATTCTTGAAGTAATGAATCAGTTAAATGATTCATTAGATCCCCACTGGAATATATGAAGTCTTCATCTCCTCACCAGTCTATATGCAGCCGACCTGGAAAGTGTTAAACCTTAAGAAACATTTGTCACAGAGTAAAAGAATTGAAGCACTCTTTTGGACTTGAAATGCCATAGTGGGCAGAAGTAGACAAGCTTTCTCAAGGTTACAGACTTTGAGGTCAATGGACTTTGTTTAAATCTTTATTGCTTTTGAAGTTTCTTTATGTTGGCAACATGACTTTAATTGACTCATAAGAATTTTCTGGTTTTAATTAACTGGTAAGAATTTTCCATATAGATTGTGGATACTTCTGCTATCTGTTTTCATATTTATTACTTTTGTCTTTAAGTTCTGTAGACTAACAGTTTCCCCCTAGTGAATGAATGTTATTGAAATTATTACTTTGTGCATAATCATTGTTTTTGAAGTAGTTTGTGCTACCACTTAAGTTTATTATTTGTGTAGGTAACTCTTCCCACGTATTAACTGAAAGACTTTATATTTTTTCTCATTAGTATTTTAATCCATAATATTGATAGATTTGTTGTTGTTGTTATGTGCCGTCGAGTTGGACCCAACTCATAGTGACCCCTCCTTGGGCTTCTGAGATGGTTTCACTATGGAAGTAGATTGCCCAACCCTCCTTCCGAGGAGTGGCTGGTAGGTTTGAACCACCAGCCTTCTGGTTAGCAGTCAAGTGCCACCAGAGCTCCCATTGACTGGATTAGTGATATTATTAGGATTATCAAATGTATAAAAGTTACTTCTAAGGGAATTTCTTAGAAAGCAAATATGCTACCCATAAAGTGAGTTGTATACATTGACAAGACATATTTATAAATGGACTTGAGTTCCCACTTATTTTACTTTTACTTTTACGTTTAAAGCCTAACCACAGTCCAAGCAGTTATTCCAATATGGCCCTGCTCCATACTTGCCCTCTGTATCCCCATTGATGATCACTGAAGATTAGGTGCTACAATGAAGCACAGTGAAGAAATTAGATGGTGTCCAGCAATCAAAAAGGATAGTGTTTGGGTCTTAAAAACTTGTCCTAAATCAAAGAGCCATCTAAAAGACCCATCAAGTAGTTTGTAGAGAAGAAAGCACACCAAACTAAGTGTGATCAACAGATTTTAAGTAAAATCCATGATCAGAGGAGTCAATGTATTAGAACTTAAATTCTAAAGCACTTGCATTTGTGAAAGGATGTGCTCTACAATGGGAGCCCTAAATCCATTTTGATTGTTGACGTAAGTTCAGAAGCAGTTGAGTCCTTTCCAACTTTCAACATTGTGGCTATGCATGGACAAGCTCCAGAAACTTTGGGAGGGACAGTTTGCTCTCAGGAAGAGTGTGGTTGAAAGTCAATTATGCTCACACAAAGGACTTGGGAACTTGCTTGAGTGTGTCTTTCCTAATTTTAATTAAGGCTGGGGTTCTGGTATTGTTCTGTAGCCATCTTATGGCTCTGACTCAGGCTTCATGATCATGAATCATATCCAGACCACCACCTAGCCAGGTAGTCAAGGCCCAGAACCAATTCTGTTACTCTTTCTAGCTCTGGTAGCTTATTGCCTAAGGCACTTGACTGCTAACCAGAAGGCTGGTAGTTCAAACCTACCAGCCACTCTTGGAAGGAAGGTTGGACAATCTACTTCCGTAGTGATACTGCCTCTGAAACCCAAAGAGGGGTTGCTATGAGTTGGTCTGACTTGATGGCAAGCAACAACAATACAACAATACTTTCAAATTATGTACATCTCTAATTCATGGTCTTTTGCCCTTCTTTTGTGGTCCTGTCTGCTACAGGATGAACCAATCTGCCACCAATCAGTTTGTAATGATTCCTTTGTTTTCAATCATATATAATTAGCTCCATGGACATGACTCAGCAGACTCCATTCAGCTTTCAGTACTGTGTATATGCTGATGGCTTCCCTCATCCTGGATGATTGTCTTTGTTTTGTCTTTGTCCTGTCCAGGGCTTAATAAAAGTATCTCTACTGAACCTGTTTGAATCTAGGTTCTCTTTTCCTCTATCACACAACAAAGTTACAAACTCCTACTAGTGAAAACTTTATGTACCATTTATAATGGAATTTGAAGGAAAAGATCATTCAGGATACAATTCTAAAGTTTAAATAAAGGATATTATTTTCATATTGGCAGGAAAAGTCAGCATTAGACTATGAATTCATGCAACCATATAATTATTAATAACTATCAAATGACCCTACTATTATGCTCTTTTACTCATTGAACTAAAAGAAAAAATTCTCCTGGTTTTTAAATTTTATATCTAGCAATTTGTTTATGCAGTATAATTTGTGAAAATCAGAACCCATGTAAGTCAGAAATTTGTCAGAAAAAGAAAATGCTAATTTCCACTAACAGAGTGATAGAAAAAGCATTCTTTTTCCTCAGAAATATATATTACATATTTCTTAAAAGATCTGGAATAGTATATAGCCCCCAACAGTTATACCATGGTATTTGTTTCAGTCTCCCAAGCTAAACAAAGCGACCCTCATTTACTAGGTTATAAAACAACTCATTCTCATATATATCTATCTTCTTAAGAAAAACCTACAGTACAACCTACAGATAATACTGCACCCTGTCAAAAGTGGAAAACTTGCAAGACCCAGAAAAACAAGGCATTCTCATTGAGTTCTAGCTCTCACTGGTTTCACTGTATTTATACCAATGGCTATTCCAAGGTTCTCTCCTACTTAATTTTATAATTATTGACTTTGAAATGTAAATGTCATTGTCAATATGGACAGAGACTAGTAAGTAGTTGATCAAACTGGAAGATAATGATCAAAAGCAATCATGCCAGTGTGTTAGATAGTGCAATACCTGGACATCTATACAGCTTTCTTGCCTGTGCAATGTCTCCTCTGCTTAGGCGGGTTCGTTGACCAATTGCTGGACGTATGCCATTGTCATCACGGGAGGGAAGAATGGTATCCAGAAACATCCCCCTGAAAAAAATCAAAAGCAAGCTACACGTAAGTCACCAAATTAAAACTCATATATTCCCTACAAACATAAAATTATTTTTTCAAAGTTAAATAGGAAATACACCAGTGTTGAGTTTAAAGTCCTTATCAGGCTCTTCAAAACACAATCATAAAGGTAGAAAACCAAGATTGCATGTTAATGTGTGTCTAGCATAAAGTCAATAATGATATTCACTTTTTCCTCAGAAATATATATTACATATTTCTTAAAATATCTGGAACAGTATATAGACCACCAACAGTTATACCATGGGATTTGTTTCAGTCTCCCAAGCAGAACAAAGAGACCCTTATTTACTAGGTTATAAAACAACTCATTCTCATATATATCCATCTTCTTAAGAACAACCCACAATACATATTTTTGTGGTTACTAAAATTGTAAAAGTCAAGTGAACATACTAAATTTTTTTTAGTTAAATGACTGATTTAATCTAAGTAATCTTAGAAATCTAAGTATTATAGCATTATTAAAAAGAACAAGGGGAGGCAGAGGGCCAAAATTTATAAAGAGCAATTTAAAGACAGTTTAAAGAAAAATAGTGTTAGCATGATACACACATATGTGCACACACACACAGAGAAGACACAGATGTATAGAATAAATAGATTTTTTTCATGGTAAAATTAATAAAAAATAAATAATAAGCAATAATAATGATAAGCTGGGAACTGAGTTGTTTTAGCTCCAATGTTATAATAAAGCTCAATATATTTATTAATAGGAGCTCTGGTGGCATAGTACAATATGTATGACTTAAAATCCTAAATATAGTACAATAGAGATACTATCGTATTTTGCAATGTATACTTAACACATCACTAAAGGAAGTACTCAGCTTCAAAGTTAAATGGATTTAAAGTTTAAGCGGACTCCATATTAAGAGATTAAGAAAAATTTTAAAACATCTTTTAAGTTGCATTAAATGGCAAAACATTTCTTTACAAATTTACAAATTAGTAAATGTATTTTAACTGCAGTATGAAAAAACAACATTTTCACCTCTATTCTTTCCCTCAGGATACATTTACTAAGAACTGTTCTAGGTCTAGATTTAGAGAAATAAATAAACAGAATTCCTTCCTTTCTTGAGTCTTACATTCTAAAGGAGGAGGAAGACGTTAAATAAAGAGTTGTAACTCAAGTAGCAACAGGCATTATGGAGAAAAATAAAGGAGAGAAGATGAATATTAATTGTGCAGTGATTAGGTAGCTTTTAAATCAGATAATGAAAGAATACTTAGGAGTTGAGATTTTAGGCAAACATGAAAGGAAGCAAAGAAGACAGCAATGTGGATCAATGGGACTTTGGAATTTACAGGGAGACAGAAAAGAAATACAACAGCCCTGTGATTGGGGGACCCCTAAAGTATTTGAACACTCACCAGAGAATTTACCCAGAGGACAACAGAGTAGTGATATGATTTATGTATAATGTATGACTGGCTTTCTGAGATTCTAGATCAGTAAAATGACGGTGATCTTTAGATATAAGGTGAATAACTAGATGTTCTTGTTGTTAGGTGCCTTCAAGTTGGTTCTGACTCATACAGTAGAATGAAACACTGCCTGGTCCTGCATCATCCTCACAATTCTTGCTAGACTTGAACCCACTGTTGCAGCCACTGTGGCAAACCATGTCGTTCAGGGTCTTCTTTTTTTTTTGCTGACACTCCACTTTACCAAGCATGATATCCTTCTCCAGGGAATGGTCCCTTCTGACAATGTGACCAAAGTAGGTGAGATGAAGTCTGGCCACTCTTGTCTACAAGGAACATTTCAGTTGCACTTCTTCCAGGACATATTTGTTAGTTCTTCTGGCTGTCCACAGTACTTCTAGAATTCTTCACCAACACCACAACTGAAAAGCATCAACTTTTCTTGGGTCCTCCTTGTTCACTGTCCAGCATATTATTCACTCATGCATATGAGGTGACTGAAAATACCATAGCTTGAGTTATGTGCACCTTAGTCTTCAAAGAGACATCTTTACTCTTTGTGTAACATGATATCTGATTGCTTGACTACTGCTTCCATTGATGTTGATTGTGGGACCAAGTAACATGAAATATTTGACAACTTTAATGTTTTCTCCATTTATCATGATGCTGCTTATTGGTCCAGTTGTGAGGATTTTCACTTTCTTTATACTTATTTTCTTTATATTGAGGTGTAATCTATACTGCAGACTGTAGTCTTTAATCTTCATCAGTAAGTACTTCAAGTCATCTTAACTTTCAGCAAACAAGGTTGTGTCATCTGTATACTGCAGGTTGTTAATGAGCTTCCCTGCAATCTAATGCCATATTCTTCTTCATATAGTCCAGCTTCTCAGATTATATGCACAGCATACAGGCTCAATAAATATGATGAAAAGATACAACCCTGACACACTCCCTTCCTGATTTTAAACCATGCAGTATCCCTTTGTTCTGTGCAAATGACAACCCTCTGGTCTATGGTCAGGTTCCTCATGAGTACAATTTAGTGTTCTGGAATGTCCATTCTTCTCAATGTTATCCATAATTTGTTATGATCCACAAAACCGAATGCTTTTGCATAGTAATAAAACACAAGTAAACATCTTTCTGGTATTCTTTGTTTTCAGCCAAGACCCATCTGACATCAGCAATGATATCCCTCATTCCACATTCTTTTCTGAATCCAGTTCATATTTCTGGAAGTTATCTTTCAGTATACTACTGAAACATTTTTGAATTATCTTCAGCAAAATTTTACATGTATGTGATATTAATGAAATTGTTAGAAAATTTCCACATTCTGTTGAATCACTTTTCTTTGAAATGGGTATAAATACAATTTTTCCAATCTGTGGGGATCTCTTCCAATCAGTTGGCCAGGTACCTGTCTTCCAAATTTCTTAGTGTAGATGAGTAAGTGCCTCCAGCATGGCATCTGTTTGTGGAAAGAACCCAATGGGTATTCTGTCAATTTCTGGACCACTGTTTTTGTCAATTCCTTCAGTGTAGCTTCTACTTCTTCCTTCAATAAAATTGGTCTTGATTGTATGCCACCACTTGAAATAGATGAACATCTACCAATTCGTTTTTGTACAGTGACTCTGTATTTCTTTCATCTTCTTTTGATGTTTCCTGCATCATTCAATATTTTGCTCATAGAATCTTTCAATATTACAACTTGAGGCTTGAAATTTTCCTCAGTCCTTTCAGTTTGAGAATTGCTAAGCATGTTCTTTCTTTTCAGTTTTCTAACTCCACATCTATGTACATTTCATTACAATAATTGACTTCTTGAGTTACTCTTTGAAATCATCATCTCTTCACCTCTTTTATCTTTTATCATTTCTCCTATTTGCTTTAGCTACTCTCCACTTAAAATCTTCAGGGTCTCTTCTTTTCCTGTATTTTTAATGACCTTTTGCTTTCCTCATGAAAGATGCTTTTGATGTTATGAATTCATCAATTCATCTGGTTTTCAGTCATTGGTGTTCAATGCAACAAATCTATTCTTCAGATGGTCGCTAAAGTCAGGTGGGATATAATCAAGGTCATATTTTGGCTCTCATGGACTTGTTTTAATTATCTTCAGCTTCAAATTGAACTTGCATATGAGCAATTGATAACTGTTCCACAGTCACCTTCTGGCATTGTTTCGGCTGAAGATATTGAGCTTCTCCATCACCCCTTTCCACAGATATAGTCTATTTGATTTCTGTGTATTCCATTTGGTGAGATCCACGTGGATAGCTGCTGTTTATGTTGTTGAAAAAGGCATTTGCAATTAAAAAGTTATTTATCTTGCAAAATTCTACCATGTGATCTCGTGTCATTTCTATCACCAAGGTCATATTTTCCAACTACTGGTGATTCTTCTTTGTTTCCAAATTTTACATTCCAGTCACTAATAATAATCTTGCATGTTTGATCAAATTCAGCAGCAAGAAGTTGATAAAAATCTTCAATTTACTCTTATTGGGCTTTAGTGGTTGGTATGTAAATTTGACTAATAGTAATATTAACTGGTCTTCATCATAGGCATATGGATATTGCCTTATCACTGACAGCATTGTACTCAGAATAGATCTTGAAACATTCTTGTGATGATGAATACTACAACATTCCCCTTCAATTTGTCATTGCAGGCATAGTCGATCACATGACTGTCTGATTCAAAACGGCCAAAACCAGTCCATTTCAGCTCACTAGTGCCTAGGATATCAATCTTTATGTGTTCCATTTCATTTCTGACAACTTCCAATTTTCCTAGAATCATACTTTGTACATTCCACATTCCATTTATTAATGGATGTCTACAGCTGTTTCTTCCCATTTTGAGTTGTGCCCCACCAGCTAATGGAGGTCCCTAAAGCTTTACTCCATCCATGTCATTAGAGTTGACTCTACTTTGAGGAGGCCACTCTTCCCCAGTCATATTTCGAGTGCTTACCAACTTGAGGACCTCATCTTCCAGCATTGTATCAGACAATTTTTCAGGGCTATTCATAAAGTTTTCCTGTAATATATCAAACAGTGTTTCACTGCTATTCATAAGGTTTTCACTGACTAATCTTTGTGAAATGGATATCCCCTTCCTTCTTCTGAGTCTGTCTTAGACTGGAAGTTCTACTGAAATCTGTTCACCATGGGTGATTCTGATGGTATGTGAAATAGTGTTGTCATAGTCTCCAGCTACACAGAAACGAAACACTCAAACCACAACAGTATGACAAACTGACAGACAAGTGGGGAGATAACTCAAATATGGGATTGGAATTCTTTAAAACCAGATCCAAGCATCTACAGAGCAAACTAGATATATAGCCTGAGACTAGAATATGGAGGAGAAGATGAATGCTATGTGGGAAGTGACCATCAAAAGTGAGAGCCAGCAATACTTAATAAGATGCAGCCCTCAGCTAGGCCAATGTAATTGAAAGAGGAAGTTTAACTACAAGGTAGAATCTATGATGATGCATAAATCCACATTTCGTAGACAAGTTCAAAATAATGAAGCACTACAATTTCTGTAGCACCTCTGTACTAATGAAATATTCACTATTTTCTATGCTTAAAATGAATTCATAATCTTGGGAAAGATTTCATTTTTTTCTACTTTTCAAAAATAATTCAGTTTTTAAAAGGTCAAGGACATTTGGATTAAATATACTCAAGCTCAGATAATGTTGGTGTTGTTGTTGTAAGGTGCAATTGAGTTAGTTCCACCTCATAGCAACCCTATGTACAACAGAATGAAACATGGCCTGGTTCTAAACCATCCTCACAATCTTTGCTATGCTTGAGCCCATTGTTGCAATCACTGTGTCAATCCATCTCTTTGAGGATCTTCCACTTTCTTGTTGACCCTCTACTTTACCAAGCCTGATGTCCTTCTACAAGGACTGGTTCATTGTGACAATATGACCAAAGTACATGAAATTAACTGTGGTCATTTTCACTTCTAAGAAACATTCTAGTTGTACTTCTTCCAAGACAGATTCGTTTGTTCTTCTAACAGTTCATGGAATTTTCAGTATTCATCAACATCACAATTCAAAGTCATCAATTCTTCTTTGGTCTTCTTTATTCTTTGTCCAGATTTCGCATGCATATGTGGCTACTAAAAATACCATGGCTTGGGCAAGGTGCACCTTAGTCTTCTAAGTGATATATTTGCTCTTTAACAAATCTCAGACAACAGAATGATAATTTTGAATCATTCTGCCAACTGAGGTTAACTCTTTTCCATCCCAAAGGAGTTCAATCACCCATTCTTTGTTCAATCTTTGTAGGGAGTTAACAATTTTCTCTCCCACACATCCCAGCCATTAAGCTTTGACGCTTTTCCTGGGTTTCTTCAATAAGATATTACCAATAGTCCAGAGACAGATTGAATTGGGTCCACTTCATTTGTATTATCTACATTAAAAGAGCAAACTAGCCATGCTTTTTAAAAAACTTCACAAAATTTTACAATTATTTTATTAATGAAAATTGTGCTATCTTCAGCTTGCAAACATTCACATTACACAACATCTGTGCAAAAAGAAAACAAGGGCCTGTAAATCCAGCCCTATTGTTCCCACAAGTAACTTCCTAAATCTGCTGATGGGCTACTTTCATGAAAACAATTGGAACTTTTATAGACTCTGTGGGTTCAGAAAAGAAGAAACTATAAAATTCAAATACTCAGGAGGGAGGGTTGCTGAGAGCTATGACAAGTATTTCGTCTTCTGCAACTCAGTCATTTAAATCTGTGTAGAAGTTAATAAACATCCTCTTTAAAACCCTGGTAACAAAGTGGTTAAGTGTTTTGATGCCAACCAAAAGATCAGCAGCTGGCACCCAAAAGGTTCTGTGGCAGAAAGATGTTGCAATCTGCTACCATAAAGATTATGGACTTAGAAACCCTATTGTCCAATTCTTCTATGTCCTATAGCATCTCTATGAATTGGAATTGACTTGACAGCAATGGATTAAAGATTCAAAACAATCTGATAATGTGAATTGCATCAATCAGATTATCATGACCTGCACTGTAGATATATACAATTAGGAAAAAAATGCATAGAGTAATTTTGAACCATAGGAAATTAGGTCAAGGCTGATTGCCATGTAACACAAAGGTAAGTGTGAGAGGAGATGGAATACAGGCAGTAGCAGCTGAGTGGTTTATGGGAAAAGAAGCACTTCAGTATACAAGAATAATACTGGATAAGGGGAGGTCTATATTTCAAAATTTTTGTATAGATTTCTCATCTATGAAGAACAGATAAATAAATTATTATTCTCCATTTTCCTCCTCAGTATCTCCTCTTTTCCAAATAATTAAAACTCAGGTGATTCTAATAATACAATTCAGCAGCACTTGGGCTGAACTGGGACTCAAATCCCTATTTGTCACATATTTCTAAGGAAAACTGAACTCCAAGCATTGATCTATAAATAAAGTTTTGTAACACTAAATTCAAGTCAAATTTTTGGGTATATTTCTGTGAAAATTTAAATTCTAATTTCAAAAAATATAGTATTTAGATAGTTATGTTTGAATAAGGATATGTACTAT